CAGAGTGCTGGGATTACAAACGTGAGCCACCATGCCCAGTCTAGATACAGATTATTATTAGACAATATGATAGCAATTTGAAGGAAAAGGTAGTACTTGAGCTGGGACTTAATAAGAAAAAGTTCGATAGAAAAAAGAGAAATGAGCTGGAGAAAGCAGCGAGGGCACAAAACTTCTGGTGGGGGGTGGCTGAGTAGACAATGTGCTGGAGGAGAGGAGCTCATCTGAGGCTGGAGTGGTCGTGTGCTGTTACTGAGTGTTAGTCATTCTTGCAGGGAGTCTGGGGCTCCAGCTGGTGACCATGTGTGAAGTTACAGTACTCTGTACTCTGTTGCTGTGCCCACTGCCTCTACCTTTGAATTTTTCTTCTCCCACTGGGAAGGTGGACAGCCTCTTCTGTTTCCTGGGATCAAAGCCTGTCCTGAGTACAGGGTGCTTGAAAACTACAATTGACATTTCAACAGCTGCAAAATAACACTGACTGCAAGGATCCAACAGTGTCTCTGCTGTATGGTCCTTTAACTGTGTTTATGCTGAGACCTGGCTTGTAGTGTTCATTCTTGCATAGACCCAGGTTGCTTTGTGGTGGCAATTCAGTGTAATAAAATGCTCCTCTGTCCAATACCATCTGTTGATGTTAATAAATGTTCTCAAGGAATTTTTAGGATGCTGAAGATAATGAACAAGATCTCAAAATTATTTCATTGATTGAACACCTGCTACTATGTGTCAGGCATTGTATACATAGGACAAAGAAGGAAGCTGGACATAGTGCATGTCTTCATTGAACTGGTAATCCAGTGGGAGATCAGACAAGTAAATACAGTGTCATAAGGGCTGTGATGGACAGAGGTACAGAGTCCTGTGAGAACACATCCAAGAAGCACCTCACCCAGACTCGGGGATCAGGGAAGGCTTTCTGGAAAAGGCTGCAGAAACCTGATAGCCTAGTGAAAAGGAGTAGGGAGGAAGTAGTCAAGGCAGAGGAAACAAAGTGTTGGAGAGGCTGAACCCAAGGGAGAGAGTGGCTTGTTAGAGAAGCTGGCCGAAGTTTCTCTAACAAGACTAGAGCAGAGGGATCCTAGAGAGTTTTTACCAAGGGACCTAAGGCAAGATGGAAAATGGATTGAAGGAGGTAAAGACTGGCAGCAGGAACACCAGTTCTAATCATCATGATGTAAACGGATAACCAGTTTACATCCAGTTCTCAGTACACGGACTTTGAAAATTCACTTCTCTCTCAATCCTTCAACCCAAACATTCTGGCTTCTCTAGAATGAGGAGCAACTACAGTCACATGTCACTTAAAGGGGATACCTTCTGAGAAATGCGTTGTTAGGCAATTTCATTGTTCTGTGACTGTCAAGGTGTACTTAGACAGAGCTAGATGGTGTGTGTGTATATGTATGCATGTATGTATGTATTCATATGGAAAACCAAATTCCCAACACCGTTACTGAATATCAGTCCTTTCCCCTACCTCAGGAGTTCTCAGTCCCCAGGCTGCAGACTGGTACCCATCGAGGCCTGTTAGGAACTAGACCACATGGCAGTAGGTGAGCCACGAGCAAGCAACTGTTACCGCCTAAGCTCCGCCTTGTGTTAGCTCAGCAGCAGCATTAGAGTCTCATAGTAGCGTGAACGCTATTGTAAACTGTGCATGCGAGACATCTAGATTGTGCGCTGCTTATAAGAATCTAATGCCTGATGATCCAAGATGAAACAGTTCCATCCCAAAACCATCTCTCCCCACAACCACTGTTTGTGGAAAAATTGTCTTCTACAAAACTGGTCTGTGGTGCCGATAAGGTTGAGGACCACTGCCCTACTTGATCTATAATGCCAGTGTTTAGCATTGTATGTCACATTTCTGTGCAGTTCATTATAAAATGGAGTCTCACTCTGTCATCCAGGCTGGAGTGCAGTGATGCGATCTTGGCTCACTGCAACCTCTGCCTCCCGGGTTCAAGCAGTTCTTCTGCGTCAGCCTCCTAAATAGGTGGGATTACAAGCATGCACCACTATGCCCGGCTAATTTTTGTATTTTTAGTAGAGATGGGGTTTCACCATATTGGCCAGGCTGGTCTCATAGTCTTAGTCTCAAATGATCTACCTGGCATTCGGCTTCCCAAAGTGCTGGGATTATAGGCATGAGCCACTGTACCTGACCATTATAATCTATGGGCCCACCATCATATATGCAGTCCATTGTTGACCAAAATACCATTATGCAGTTCATGACTTTATTTAAAAAGTAAAGAAAAATCCTATTTGAAAGAAATCTGTTGTTTGTGTTACGCAAATGGCCCTTTAAAACATGGTCCCCAGGTAGGACTGTTATGTTCTTTGCCAGGGATAAACCTGTGCACAGTGTATTCTCTAGTCTCTGTACAAGAAGTAAGAGTCACTCTGGGCTGGGTGCAATGGCTCATGCCTGTGATCCCAGCACTTTGGGAGGCTGAGACAGGTGAATCAGTTGAGATCAGGAGTTCGAGACCAGCCTAACCAACATGGTGAAGCCCCATCTCTACTAAAAATACAAAATTAGCCGGGCATGGTGGTGCACACCTGTAGTCCCAGCTACTTGGGAGCCTGAGGTAAGAGAATTGCTTGAACCCAGGAGGCGGACGTTGCAGTGAGCTGGGATCGCGCCATTGCATTCCAGCCTGGGCAACAAGAGCGAAACTCTGTCAAAAAAAAAAAGTCACTCTGTATAACCTGCAGCTTGATGCTGTGTTTTGTGCATTCTAGATAGGAACTGAAGAGCTCAGAACGACATGAGGTTGAGCTGTTTCTCATTTAGTTTAGCTTGCTATGATTCCAGTAGCCTTTCTTCCTGTTTACCCAAGCCATTCACGAAAGCAAAACCCACACAAAATACAGGAGCTCAGAACAAAAGGGGTTCAAATGGCCGTGTTATCTCCCAGTTCCCCTACTAAGGTAAAAATATTTATATTTCTTTTTTTCATTTTCTTGGTAATTTTTTTTTTAAACAATGACTGGATACCAGGCATTTCATACTTAAGCCCTGAAGTCTGGGAATGTGATTTCTAACAATTTTATGTTTGGATTTCTTAGGCTTGTGTTTATCTGCTTACATAAGAGATATTTTGCTTACAAAACTAACTATAGATGTGAACATTACTGAAGTATTCATTGTATTTTATTAAGAAATAATTATGTATCTGCTCTGTGCAGTACTAGGTATGTGGAAGGGTTTCAGGAAAAAAAATAATAATAAGACCCGGTCCCTGCTTTCAGAAACTTAATCTAAAACAGAGCAGAATCAAAGTACTAATGCCACCTTTCTTCATTGTGTCATCCAAGGAAGACACGAGTCATCAGTCACAGCACTGTTTCCTGCTGAATCCAGAATCAGCCTCAGAATCCTCAACGCAGCATTCCAGACAACCCATGAATAGATAAAAATCCATCTTCCATCCTTTATTTTAAAAAATACGTGCATTCTCAAAGTCTTGGGTACTTGCCTAGGTTTTTATTGCTTTGTCTTTTGCTCATTTTTAAAGAAACAAGATGATTTATTTCTTTAAAAAAGACAAAGCAATATGAATATGGAAACCCAAGAACCTCCCGAGAAAGCAAAATATAATAATGTGGTTTTTCAAGAAGTTAAAACTTGAAACATTTGGTTCATGTACGTAGAGAAGCCCATTCCCATTACTTGCCACTGTAAACACAGTTTTTCTTGGTTACTTCCAGGATGATTGCCCTGGTACTTTATTATTTGTATAAACTAGTTCCAGTGCTATAAAGCTGACAGCTGGTAGTGAATAATGACCACATTTCAAGTTTCCTGGTGCTGGGGCTTCCTTCATGGCTGCTCACGTCACTTGCTTTAGTAGAGAGCATAGGTCTTCCAGGTGCTGCCATTCAGCATCACTGTCATTGATTATTTCGTGGCCACCTGAGCCTTGAGCTGTCTTCTTAATCCACATGCTTTCCACAGGCACTGCATCAAAGGCGAGTTTCAGCTATATATATTGATAAATCTCAAGTGGATAAGACTCCTCCTAAACGCTAGACCCTTAATTTCAGCTGTATGTGGACACTTCCACCAGAGTGAATGGAGGTAACATAAACAGCTAACAAACACTTGTAGCCAGAGGGTGTGCTAAGAGCTTCACAATCATTATTTAACCTTTCCAACAACCCTTAGAAGTTTTCATCCCTGTTATGCAGATGGGAAATACTAGGCTTAAGGAATCACACCATTAGTAAATGTTAGGACTGAGTCTGAAACATAAGACTATCCAGAGTTCAATGGTATTTAATGGTATACACAGACCCTTCAATTTTGGCTTACACAAAATAAGAGTCATCCCACTCCTCGACCTCCAAATTTCAGTCTTAACTTTAAATGAGTCCAGCCGACAACAAATGCCATCCTGCTGTCATATCCTCCTTCAAGGTCCACTAAGTAACCACTATAGGCTTTATTTAGTCTGTCATTACTTCTTACCTAGAAGGCAGTTCTTACGCATTTTTCCCCCTTCCCTTGCACTAGGAGACAAAAGCTATATATTTCCCTTTTAGTTTATTTTCTACTATACTTATCTTGGATAAAAAGATAGGACTTGAGGCCGGGCGCGGTGGCTCAAGCCTGTAATCCCAGCACTTTGGGAGGCTGAGGCAGGTGGATCACAAGGTCGAGAGATCGAGACCATCCTGGTCAACATGGTGAAACCCTGTCTCTACTAAATATATAAGAAAAATTAGCTGGGCCTGGGGGTGTGTGCCCAGCTACTCGGGAGGCTGAGGCAGGAGAATTGCCTGAAGCCAGTAGGCGGAGGTTGTGGTGAGCCAAGATCGCGCCATTGCACTCCAGCCTGGGTAACAAGAGTGAAACTCCGTCTCAAAAAAAAAAAAAAAGATAGGACCTGAATAAGAAAACTTTAGTTCGGAGCAGGCACGGGATTTTTCTCATTTACTCTTTTCACTTGCATCTCTAGAATAATGTCTTTTGTCTTCTTGTTTTCTAGGAATGTTTACCCTTGCGGAAGTTGCGTCACTTAATGACATTCAGCCAACTTACCGAATCCTGAAACCATGGTGGGATGTGTTTATGGATTACCTGGCTGTTGTTATGTTGATGGTAGCCATCTTTGCAGGAACCATGCAACTTACCAAAGATCAGGTGGTCTGTTTGCCAGTTTTGCCATCTCCTGTAAATTCAAAGGCACATACACCACCAGGAAATGCCGATGTCACCACCAACATCCCGAAGACGGACGCAGCCACCAACCAAGACCAAGATGGACGGGCGACAAATGACATTTCCTTTGGGACATCTGCTGTGACACCTGACATACCTCTCAGAGCCACATATCCTCGCACAGATTTCACAGTTCAAAATCAGGAGGCAAAGAAAGAGAAGAAAGATCCAACAGGCCGAAAAACAAACTTGGATTTTCAGCAATATGTATTTATTAATCAGATGTGTTACCATCTGGCCCTTCCGTGGTATTCTAAGTACTTTCCATACCTTGCTCTTATACATACTATTATTCTCATGGTCAGTAGCAACTTTTGGTTCAAATATCCCAAAACATGCTCAAAAGTAGAACATTTTGTTTCAATATTAGGAAAGTGCTTTGAATCCCCTTGGACTACAAAAGCGTTGTCTGAGACAGCATGCGAAGACTCAGAGGAAAACAAGCAGAGAATAACAGGTGCCCAGACTCTACCAAAGCATGTGTCTACCAGCAGTGATGAAGGGAGCCCCAGTGCCAGTACACCAATGATCAATAAAACTGGCTTTAAATTTTCAGCTGAGAAGCCTGTGATTGAGGTTCCCAGCATGACCATCCTGGATAAAAAAGATGGAGAGCAGGCGAAAGCCCTGTTTGAGAAAGTGAGGAAGTTCCGTGCCCATGTGGAAGATAGTGACTTGATCTATAAACTCTATGTGGTCCAAACAGTTATCAAAACAGCCAAGTTCATTTTTATTCTCTGCTACACAGCGAACTTTGTCAACGCAATCAGCTTTGAACACGTGTGCAAGCCCAAAGTTGAGCATCTGACTGGTTACGAGGTATTTGAGTGCACCCACAATATGGCTTACATGTTGAAAAAGCTTCTCATCAGTTACATATCCATTATTTGTGTTTATGGCTTTATCTGCCTCTACACTCTCTTCTGGTTATTCAGGATACCTTTGAAGGAATATTCTTTTGAAAAGGTCAGAGAAGAGAGCAGTTTTAGTGACATTCCAGATGTCAAAAATGATTTTGCATTTCTTCTCCACATGGTAGACCAATATGACCAGCTGTATTCCAAGCGATTTGGTGTGTTCTTGTCAGAAGTTAGTGAAAATAAACTTAGGGAAATTAGTTTGAACCACGAGTGGACATTTGAAAAACTCAGGCAGCACATATCACGCAATGCCCAGGACAAGCAGGAGTTACATCTGTTCATGCTGTCGGGGGTGCCCGATGCTGTCTTTGACCTCACAGACCTGGATGTGCTAAAGCTGGAACTGATTCCAGAAGCTAAAATTCCTGCTAAGATTTCTCAAATGACTAACCTCCAAGAGCTCCACCTCTGCCACTGCCCTGCAAAAGTTGAACAGACTGCTTTTAGCTTTCTTCGCGATCACTTGAGATGCCTTCATGTGAAGTTCACCGATGTGGCTGAAATTCCTGCCTGGGTTTATTTGCTCAAAAACCTTCGAGAGTTGTACTTAATAGGCAATTTGAACTCTGAAAACAATAAGATGATAGGACTTGAATCTCTCCGAGAGTTGCGACACCTTAAGATTCTCCACGTGAAGAGCAATTTGACCAAAGTTCCCTCCAACATTACAGATGTGGCTCCACATCTTACAAAGTTAGTCATTCATAATGACGGCACTAAACTCTTGGTACTGAACAGCCTTAAGAAAATGATGAATGTCGCCGAGCTGGAACTCCAGAACTGTGAACTAGAGAGAATTCCACATGCTATTTTCAGCCTCTCTAATTTACAGGAACTGGATTTAAAGTCAAATAACATTCGCACAATTGAGGAAATCATCAGTTTCCAGCACTTAAAACGACTCACTTGTTTAAAATTATGGCATAATAAAATTGTTACTATTCCTCCCTCCATTACCCATGTCAAAAACTTGGAGTCACTTTATTTCTCTAACAACAAGCTCGAATCCTTACCAGTGGCAGTATTTAGTTTACAGAAACTCAGATGCTTAGATGTAAGCTATAACAACATTTCAATGATTCCAATAGAAATAGGATTGCTTCAGAACCTGCAGCATTTGCATATCACTGGTAACAAAGTGGACATTCTGCCAAAACAATTGTTTAAATGCATAAAGTTGAGGACTTTGAATCTGGGACAAAACTGCATCACCTCCCTCCCTGAGAAAGTTGGTCAGCTCTCTCAGCTCACTCAGCTGGAGCTGAAGGGGAACTGCTTGGACCGCCTGCCAGCCCAGCTGGGCCAGTGTCGGATGCTCAAGAAAAGTGGGCTTGTTGTGGAAGATCACCTTTTTGACACCCTGCCACTCGAAGTCAAAGAGGCATTGAATCAAGACATAAATATTCCCTTTGCAAATGGGATTTAAACTAAGATAATACGTGCACAGCGATGTGCAGGAACAAATTCCTAGATTGCAAGTGCTCATGTACAAGTTCTTACAAGATAATGCATTTTAGGAGTAGATACATCTTTTAAAATAAAACACAGAGAGGATGCATAGACGGCTGATAGAAGACATAACTGAATGTTCAATGTTTGTAGGGTTTTAAGTCATTCATTTCCAAATCTGTTTTCTTTATTTTTTCTTTTGGGGAAAGGGAAGGAAAAATTATAATCACTAATCTTGGTTCTTTTTAAATTGTTTGTAACTTGGATGCTGCCGCTACTGAATGTTTACAAATTGCTTGCCTGCTAAAGTAAATGATTAAATTGACATTTTCTTACTATATTACCTTTTTTGAGGGGTCTTAATTTACTTTGCTAAATTGGTGCAATATTGCTTTAACTCAGATCACTAAAGACAGACACATCAAGTCCAAACTTGTAAATTTAGATTTACTAAAATACTGATTTATTTCCTGTTTTAATTTAAAGCGCCTCAAATAAGCACTTCTCACAATAGTTGACTGGTACTGCTGCTTCTGAGCATCTCATGTCATAGATTTTGTACTCTTACAGACTTGGAATGCGGTAGAGGTATGTGGATTGTTAGAGGTTTTGTTTGTTTTTTAAGAATAAGTAACAATAAAATAACAAATTTCTTAATAGCTTTTTTGACATAGTTTGGAGTTCTGATTATATGGTACATTTTCCTACCAATAATATAGGGTTACCAATAAATAGAAAATGTTTTCTAAAAATAAATTTTATTACAACAAAACAAAAATTTCAATGACTTATTAACACAACCTCCAGTATCACCACTATTTGGAAGATAACACGGAATCACAAGTATCACGTAATTTCTTGCCTGTTTCACTGTTGTTCTGGTGTTGGTGGGAAATAATAGGAAATGTTGTTCATTGGGTAGGGAAACTCTAACTTTCCCTGTCTATCTTAGTGATGAGCTGTATTTTCTGTTTGTGTGCAGCTAGGAGGAGTCATAGCCAGCAAAATGTTGGCAGAACATTGATAGAACATTTCTAATCAGTCTCAGAAAAATCAAACAACTCCCTGCCACCTGTTTAGGTATTAGTTGGCAGGTGTTTCGCAGACCTTTTATAGGCCTCTTTTCAAGAGAAGGGAACAGTTTGGCACTGTGACAAAGTAGTGTCCTCTCAATACAAAACTGAACTCTATTAATGAAACACTGGACTTCTGTCACTTCTAAGCACAGCTTGAAGGATTTTCCAGAGAATGGGCAAAGATAGACTCATATCTTTGCTTTCCTCCCCAGAACTGAACTCTGGGGGTGCTGGCCTGTGGCCAATGGAGGTGAAGCTTTGCCTGCAGTAGAGCCTATAAATGCTCTGAGAAGTATCATCACTAACAGGAAAGGCTGCAGCCCCTGTAGTTGAATTAGGAATTGATGCTGGCTCTGGCACCCTGGCCATTCCTCCTCTTCAAAGACTCGAGGTGGGGACTAGCTTATTAAATGTTTAAGTTTAAGTGTAATCAAACAAAAAGCAGGTGGCATATTTTCAGTACAAGGAAATTCTCTTCTACGCATCTTCCAGTTGTCACAGCATTCATTAATATATTGACTAGTATTGAGGATGTACCTGCTTGGTGCCTATCTAGTAAAAGGAACTAGGGATTCAGTGTTAGAATAAGTTCTGTCTACATGGAGATTTATATAGCAAAGTAGAGAGATAAATATTAATTATGTAAATAATAGAAATGTTTAATAACAATTATAGAAGGTATAGGCCAGGTGCAGTGGCTTACACCTGTAATCCCAGAACTTGGAGAGGCTGAGCCAGGAGGATGGCTTGAACCCAGGAGTTTGAGACCAGCCTGGGCAACATAGCAAGACCCCATCGCTACAAAAAAATTTTAAAATTCGCCAGGCATGGTATTGTACTCCAGCCTGGTGACAGAGCAAGACCCTGTCTCAAACAAAAACGTGTACAGAATCTGTAAGTGAATAATGGCAGGAGTGGAGTGAACTTAAAGAGGAGCTTCAGGGAAGTTTTGTACTTATAAACAATCCAGAACTTTCCCTTCCACCAGCCACCAAGGGCACTCTTCTCCCTGCTTGGTAATGCCACCACCTGAAATTGGCACAGTATTTTTAGAAGGATGCCACCCTATCTTAGTTGTAAGATAAGGAGTCCAGATCTTATGATCTTTGCTTTTAGGACCAGAACATTTGTCTTCCCTTTTTTTAAATAAAAATGACACCACCTGTCATCATCACTACCATCATCACAGCATCTTGGAGCTGTGATTGAACATTGCCTTCCCAATTCAGAAATCCTCATAACATTCTTGATGTCAACTCAAATGTCTATTAATTTCATCTGATGACTTTCTCTGCTTTATCTGGGAAAGTGAGTTTCTTTTTTCTGATCCTGAGCAGGGCATCTCAGGGTTCTAAACACCGTCAACTTGAACACTCTGAGAACCTGACCCTGAGAGTTCATTCCTTTGCGAAGGATTCCTTTCCATTATTGGCCCTTGATCCTATGAAATGATCCTTTCTTATAGATCCCAGCATAAGTCTCTTTGACTCTTTTCATGAATATTTTTTACTGATGACTTAAAAAATATGATGTAATCATCATTTGTCCAGACTAAGGTTGCGTAAGATACTATGTTTTCCAGTTTCTTCAGATGGCAAATTGGGTGGAGACAAAGTATAAAGACTCACTTTGCTTTTAGATTTGTCACTATTTTATTGTGAGCAAAGCTAATTTCTTTGAACCTCACTTTTCTTATCTGTCAAATGGGAACATTAATATAGTTCATAAGTTTGGCAATGCTGAAGCATTCTATTATTTTTCTGTTTGAACTAGCATAGCATAGCTGTATGGAAGAAGAATCTTACAATACTTGTGAAGTTGATGTCCACCAAATATAAAATACTGTGTTTCAGAATGTGGTGCATTGTTACTTTGGAAATATAAGGAGAGCAGGACTTCAACAAGAAAATTCCTAATTGGCTCAGAATGATTGAGTAGGGATTCGTTTCACTTCCTCTTGACTGGTAATAGGAAAAAAAAAAAGCCCTTTTTTTAAATAAAAAGCAAAAACTTATTGAAGTATAATTAGCATATAAAAGGCCATACATATGTATACCTTAAATATGGTATACATCTCAATGAGCTGCCTTCCTTTCTTAAAACAAGTGTATATAGAGTTTTTGAAGGGCAGGGGTGGCAGGACACCACAGTTCACTTTTCAGAGAAGCCATTCTGTAGGAACCACAATCTATGAGACAGTCCCTAAGTTTGGCCACTGGCACCTCTGCCCATGGGCTCTTGTTTCCTAAACGGTACTTGGGGTTCAATCACTTAGAACTGGTTGGTGTTAGATGCCTTCAAACAGTATCAAGGGGTACTTGTTGCCCAAATTTCTGTTGACTATTAACCCTTAATCACTTCCTTGAACTCTGAAAAGTTCACGGTCAATTGATTTAAATGCCACATTCCATACCACTGTTTGCAAACGGGAATACTCCAAAACGGTTCCTGAGAAATGCTGACTCATTTAACAGACCACTGGGTTTGGAAGCCTCAACAAAACAACAGAAAAAGAGTTGTGGGGCCAAGTATACTGTCAATCTGTATGTCCTCTTGAATTTATGTTGACATCACTTGGACCAGACATGGGAGAAAAACAAATTAGTATGTATAAGATTTGGCTTAATAGTATTTTCAGATCTTTCCACAATGTCTGCCATATCTGGGAGAGTCTCATAAAGTCAGAAAGAACTTGGTTTACTTGTGGTGGTTTTCTTTTTTCTCACCAGCACTCAGCTGGCTTGACAGAGAGCATTGGCTTTTTCAAGGGTTCGGAAAGATGAGCTGGAACTGTCACAGGGACCTCATTCTTAGTAGCACAGAGTTAGTAATTTAATAGTAGGAAGAGTTTATTCTGTAATTCCTGGCCAGCAAAGTCCCGACTGTTTGACATTTTTTAATATAAAGAAAGAAGTCATATCCTTTCTTATTTTCTGTAATACTTTCTCTGTCTCCCCTGGTCTCTACTTCAACCAGTAACCAAACTCTCAAAGTTGCTGATGGCAGCAAACTCCTAAGTGTCCTTGAGGCCAACATTCAATAGTTATTTCCATTCACCTTGTTGAATAAAAGCCAGAGTGGTGTCCTCTCACTAGGATTTCTGGCGGCACTTGCGTCAGTAATTCATTCCAATAAAATGGTCTCTTTATCAATTGAATCCCCAAACAAAGACTGTACAAACAAAAAGCTCCTTTCATGAAAAAAAAAAGAAGGGTGAAAAAAGAGCAAGCCCCTGGAAACCAGTTTTCAAAAGTCCTCTAACTTGTGACTACAACACGAAGAAGTGGCCCCGTCTGATTCTGGCCAGCTGTGGCTCCCTTAAAGCAAGGGCTCTGGGTATTCAAGGTGGTATCCACTGGGGCACAGGGAAGGCTGAAGCCAACGGGGCAGAAGAGCAGCAGGCCAGGAACATCTGCCTCTTAAGCCTGGCCTAGCCTAGCCTGAGATGGCAGTCACAGCTGAAATCGGGGAAATAAACCCCTTCACTCACAAAGCCAATAGCAGATCTCCATTTTTCATCCTTGTGTTTCTGGACATAAAATGTATAAACTGTCTCAGGTAATCGTCACCTTTCTTATGGAAATTCATGGGATTATTTGCTGAGAGTTAATCCTGAAAAATTTCATCCCATAGTTTCATCTACCCCCCCTCCCACTTCTGTGGAACTCCTGATGGTAGAAACTTCCCCAGCCCCATTTGCTGTCACTGTGAGGTCTCCTTCATTCACTCCTAAGATTCCAGGCCCTGGAGTGAGAGTGCCTGGATTTGAATCCTGCCTTGGCCCTAACTGCATGACTGTGCAGAAGCTTCTTACATAAGCCTCAGTTTTCTACTGTGAATGGGAATAGTCATAGTGCCTACCAAATGGGTTATATTGTGTGTCAATTGAATGAGGTGATTCATTTGAGGCACTGTGCCTAGCAGGTAGTAAGTATGTAATAATACTATTATTACTTTTATCCCCAGAGACTGTTCATCTTCCCTAATATGCATTCTCTCCTTCCTTGGTAATGGAATTTTCACTGTCACCTGGAACACAACAAAATGTGTATTAAAGCCAGGCAGCAGTGCATGCCCGTAGCCCCAGCAACTGTGTAGACTGAAGCAGGAAGATCACTTGAGCCCAGGGGTTCCAGTCCATCCAGCTTAGGCAACACAGCAAGACCCTGATTGTTTTTAGAAAACAAAATAGACCAGGCGCGGTAGCTCACACCTGTAATCCCAGCATTTTGGGAGGCCGAGGCAGGTGGATCACTTGAGGCCAGGAATTCGAGACCAGCCTGGCCAACATGGCAAAACCTGTCTCTACCAAAAATAACAAAAATTAGCTGGTGCAGTGGTGCACACCTGTAGTCCCAGCTATTCAGGAGGCTGAGGCAAGAGGATCTCTTGAGCCCAGGAGGTAGAGATTGCAGTGTACCAAGATCCCACTGTGGCACTCCAGCCTGCGTGACAGAGCAAGACCCTGCCCCAACAAAATGAAAAACATTTTCCAGACTTACTAGGGACTAGATGTGCCATGGGCTAGAATTTAGTTAAATTATAGCCAAGGGAGTGGGAAAGGAAGTATAATGTGACATTTC